TCCGGCAGGCGACTGGACGGCGAAGGCCTCGGTGGCAAGACCCAGCAGGGCATTTGCTATCTTGGTGTCCACCTCCAGTGGCGTGTCCAACCCGTCCACCGTGGAGAGCAGCGGCCAGCGCGCTTGCGTCCGCCTTGCCGACGAGGGCGGCGTCCAGGGCTGCCGTGGTGACTGCGTCCAGGAGGGCTGCCGCTATCTTAGAGTCCACCTCCGAGGAAGTGTCGACAGCATGGCGTACGCGGTCAGGGCTGCCTTGGAGGCCTGCAGGCCCGATGGAGGCGTCTCGGCTCGCGAGCTTGGAGGCCAGCGCTGCGGCGGACACGACGCCGAGGAGAGCATTGGCCACCTTGGTGTCGACCTCCAGCGGCGTGATCCTGGCTGCGATGTCGAGGGAGTGCTGGTCCACCGCCGTCTTGAGGCCGTAGTTGGCTGCCACCGTGGCCAGCGTGGCGTTGTTGGCCGAGGCGATGGAGCCGTTGCACGCTGTCCGGGGTGCTCTTCGTGGCCACGCCCTCCAGGACGTGGAAGGCCGACTGGTCTGCCTTGTTCGTGCGCGGCCACCTGCCCGTCCGTGGTGGCCAGGGCGTGATGGCCGGCGCCAGTGCGCTGCTGCTAGCTTCGAGGCCAGCTCTGCGGTGACCCGGTTGTCCAGGGACTGGATGGCGGCTGCGTTGTTGCCGGAGGCTGCCATGTTCATGGCCAGGTCTGTTACTTGAGCGTAGGGCGTCAGAGCGAGGGCAAGCTGCCCTGCAGTGACGTGCGTGCCGTCAGTTACCTCTCCGTTGTCCACAAACATGTTTACGTATGTTTTCGCCGACGCCTTAGTCCAGTGGCTAAGGCGTCGGCCAAGGAGCTAAGCGCTTCTTACTCCGCACAGGGCTCGGTTCCTGCCGCGAGCGCAGTTGAGTACCATTCAGTCCGAATTCCGGCCGTTATGAACTTGTCACCCCGTGACACAGTCCGTGGGTGGCCTTGCGGCTTTCGGTCTTGGAGCAAGGCCGGCTGGGCGGCTTCGGTCTTGGAGCAAGGCCGGCTGTGCGGCTTCGGTCTGGAAGCTCAGTCCTGGAGTCCGGAGCAGGTATCGTATTTCCAATACGTGATCCGGACTGAAAAAAAGCGCAATCGGCACACATTCGGAGCCCGCACCAGGCCCGCACCAGGCCCGCACCAGGGTTTTTCGGGCAAAATCGGAAGCTTGGAGCAAAGTCGGAATTCCGACCTTGGTGGGAGAGCGAAGTCGGAACTCCGACCTCGCAGCCATTGGCAAAAAAGCGCGCTGCAGTCCTCCCACGGGAGGACTTACATTTTTTTTCCTGGGAAGAATTCCGACCTCGGGTGGCACGGGCACGGCAGGCTGGTGCGCTTGCCGCTACATAGCACGTGCTCGGCTACCAGGACATGAATTGAGGGAAAATACAATTCAAATCCAGGTTGTGATACCTATAGCCGAATGCAGAAACTATGCATGGCGTGCATAGTTTCATAAATCCGAGCCCTGGTCAGCGAGACACTCCCTCGAAAAATGTCGGGACAAATCGCCGAAAATTTCGGGACAGATCGCCGAAAATTTCGCCTCGAGTCCTCGGGTGGCGCGGGCACCGGGAAGCCGGGCGGCGAGACCGGGAGCGATGCGGGATTTACCGCATCGCTCCCGCAGATTTGCGGGAGACGCAATCCTGCGCCCAGCGCAGCATTCAAGGGGGCAATCCTGTTGTCAACGCAGGATTGAGTGGAGCAATCCTGTTGTCAACGCAGGATTGAGTGGAGCAATCCTGTGCCCAACGCAGGATTGCCATTCGTCCCTTTGCGTTACTTCCCAAATTCGAAGCCGGGAAGCCGGGCGGCGAGTCCGGGAGCGATATGGGATTCGGCAGGTCGCTCCCGGAGTTTTCTGGGAGACGCAATCCTGTTGCCCAATAGACCAGATTAGTCAGAAAACTAGGAATTACCTAATTTATAGAATTAGATCTAATTCTATAAATTAGGTAGATTTTTTTGTGGTGGAAAATAGTTTATTTTTTTTAACTATTTAGTCTCGTTGTTGCGCCGAAAAAATAGTATATTTAGACTATTTGGCCCGGCGCGATTCTAACTAATAGTCTATTTTTTTGGCTCCAAAAACACACACGATTTTCTAACTAATAGTTTAGACTATTTTCTAACTATTAGTTAGAATGTGCCGGGGACAAATTTCTACCAAACTGCGACCAAACTGCGACCAAACTGCGACCCCTCATGTTTGACGACCAAACTGCGACCAAACTGCGACCCGCCCTTCACAGCGCGCGCGCATGCGTGCGCTGCTGTGGCCTTTCGCTGTGCGCAAGCTCTCTCACTCTTACACACAAATCTTGTTCCCCCCCCGTTCATGTGACAATATTTTCATGTGAGCGCATTTGCGCGCAGATACACTTGGGTATAACTCCCATGCGCCGTTTCGGCAGCGCTAGGCCATGAGATTTTCGTCTCGCATTCTTAACAAAGGCGCCTCTCTCGAAGCAAACCCTTCAAGATGCATCTCTCAAGGTGTGTCTCTCAAGGTGATCCCCTAAAAAAAACCTCTTAGATCTTCTGCGAAAAGTATTTGCGATGACCCCTTTGGCGGGCTCCTCGTGTTTTCTTGTCTGTTGCATGAAAGACAGCTTGACGGCGCGCCTTTTTTGCACACACAGTACGCGAGCGCAAAGTGCTTTGGGGTGTGAGAAAGACAGAGAGCAACGCCTTCATCCGTGACGTTTCTTGAACAAGAAATGCAATCCGAGGCGGTAGTGGCGGGCCATTTTCAAATGTGTTGCCCCTGGTGCAGCTCTGCGCCACTTGTTGCATCTTTTGCATCATGTCTTCCCCGCAAAACACCCAAATGAGCCGAGGGTTGATGTGACGAGCAAGGATGGCGAGCTCTTGCAGCATGTGACATTTCGAAGTCACGTCGAAATAGGCAATACCTTCTTCCAAGAAATGTTCAGCAACTTGGGTTTGCAATTGGAGCATTGTCGTGCATGTGTTTTCGAAGTCCTCAGCAGGCCCAGGGGGGAACGCGAAGTCGTCTTTGTACTCTGTGATCATGTTCTCCAGCTGGCAGTTTAACTGCAACATCAAGTTGATCCGGCGATGAAGAATCAAATGAGGGTTCATGTGAGCATTCCATAAAGCGTGCAAAGCTGCCCCGAAGTGCCTGACCTCGGCAGCTTTGCCCCGCAATTTGGGGAAGCGGCCGCCTTGCCTCACAAACGTAGAGAGACGGTTCAAATATCGAAAAGGCGATGGGGTGCCATGGTCCTTGAAAAACTGTTTCAAGAACGTCCAGCACTGTGAGAGATTCTCTTCGGGCTCGTTCGCCATGGCCGTATGGCACAGAAAAGCTAAGACAGATCCGTATTGATACATGTCAGTGCCTAGGTATTTGACGTGCATCCAATCGTAGGCGACTGTCCAGCAAGAGGCACCTGGAAGGGACAGCAGCGGGCATCGAGACTGCTCTTCCCAAGCACGCCACGCGCTAGGAGTCCACTTGGTGGCTCGCCAGCTTGCAGTTGCCCGAAAATCTGTCCATGTGTCATCGCCCACCTTTTTGCATTGACAATGCGAGCACGGCCCTGCCGCAGAAGAGTAGTTTGGAAGGCCCAATATTTTATTGTAATAATCCAGGTCCCCTGTGAGGGCAAACAATACTCCCCGATATCCTCCAGCTAGCCACTTTCCCGCCAGCCTGTGCCCTTCACTTCCAGCAACATACCTGCGGCGGCCGTCAAAGTTGTTGCGGGGGGCGCAGCTTGTTGTATTTGTACGCTTTTGTTCCTATTTTGGTGCGGGTGCCATGCATGCGACAAAAATGCCTTAAATAAGAACAAAAAAGACAAAACCACGCCCAATGATTTTTGTGGTGGCCGAGATGCCTCTTCCCCTGGAAGTCGGCGCTTGGCCATTGCCCTTCCATCAAACACAGGAAGGACCATCGTAGCACTGCAAAGAAAACGCCTCTGGTTCCTTCAGAGACAGAGCCTTTGCTCATGCGGTCATACATGCTCCAGACCCAGAATAAGATTTCTTTGGTCTGCCCTTGCCCTATCAACGAATACCACGAAAACATGGTCATAACTTTGGACCACCCTTTGCCAAGACCGACCACCGGCACGCCGTCTCCATGGACGGCGAGCGGCACAACCTTGGACTTGTAATCGGCAACGTCCCGGATGGGGTGGCTCTCCATCTGTGGATGAGAATCCACTGCGCTCCAAAATCGATGCAGGGTTTGCTCATCAGGAAGAACAGACGATCGCCAAGTTTCTGGGTAGTCCCGCCACAAAGACGCGAAGAGCTGGTGTGGCAAGAGCATTCCCTGCAGCGACTCGCCGAAAGGCAGGGCGAAGGGAACTCGAACTCGAAATGGCTCTGGTAGTTGGCTCAAGTGCTCGACTTTGTTCATCAGGTCAGCATGGCACTTGTTTTTGTAAGCGCCGTTGGTGCCTATGCCAGCAAGGACGCGCAAGTCTCCAAGGACTTGGCCATTTTCTATAGAGGCTTCCAAGTCTCGAACAGCCAGGGCAGCAATTTCTTGGATCAGTTGGGGAGACATAGCCCCCCAAGCAAAAAGTTCCAGGAGGAGCGCGGCAAGCTGGCTTTCATTGGTGAAATTGCCCGCCTGTTCGTTGGCGGTGGCTTTGGCCATGCGCTGCCTGATTCCCCCAATCTTTCTGCGCTTAGGTAAGCGATCCATGGCGCGGCTGGGTGAAAGTGTGAAGCAAGTCTTGTTTATATGTTCAAACAATGCTCAGTGTGGTAAAATCAGCGTTTTCTGCTCAATTGACAAACCCATGCAACAATTGACAAATCCTGCTCCTTTCCGCTCAAAGGTTACGTTTGTGTGTGTATATGAAGAACTTTGTGCGTCGCAGTGTTCTACGCAACATCAAGGAAACAGCATATGTCTCTCAGGGTGTCTCTCAGGGTATCTCTCAGGGTGTCTCTCAAGGTGTGCGCAGCTACCAAGCGTTTGTCTCTCAAAAGGGCCATTGAGACTCCGTGTTCATCTTGTAGGATCCATCAGTTTGCTTGTTGAACAGTCCATTGATCAGATTCGTCTGGAACTGCCGTTGGCTCTGCGCTTTCTTGGACTCGATTTGCCACATGTGAACCACAGCTAGCGGCAATGCCCCAGCCTTCATTAATTTGCCGAATTTCTCGGCTTTTCCTTTGTCGCGCAATTGGTTCTCTTCCTCATCATCCTTGGACGAAGCAGCCGTCTTGATGTCATCCACCATGGCATTGATGGTCAGCTTGTTCGCAGCTGGCTTTTTCGTGGGCGCACCAGACGTAGCCTCGCTGGCCGCAGGCCTCTTCATAGCTGGCATGGCCAAGCGGGGAATTGGCAATGTGCTGTTTCTTTGCACAGCGGCTGGATGCTGAACAAGGCAGGCAGAGGCAAAGCAACTCAATGTGTGACACACCTCTCATGGTTCAAGGGGAAGGGCGGCCGCTGCCCTGGAAACACATCCCACCCTCACAGTTTCGAGCACACCTTTTTGTTTGAAATTCACATGTGTTCTGAACACGAACAGGCAAGACGTGCGATTATAGTTTGGCCTTCAGTAATTGGCTAGACCCTACATGAAACAAGGTCGGGAGCATGTCGCTTGTGAGTGCGTTACACTTGATCACCAGCGCATTCCTTGAAGCTATGAGACGCCGTTGGTATCTTGACGCACTTCTACGCGCTGGGATACAAGCAGCTGACGATGTAGAAGAAGAACCGCCTGTAGAAGATGAAGACAACAAGACTATCTTTTCAGACGAAGGCAGCAACTGCAGTGAATCTGTTGCAACAATTGTTCCAGAACAAGCTGAGTTGCCCAGGGAAGAACAAGCTGATACTCTTCAAGAACAAGCTGAGTTGCCCAGGGAAGAACAAGCTGATACTCTTCAAGAACAAGCTTACTTGCACAGGGAAGCCTCACCTGCGCCTGCATTGTGTAGTAGTGAGGATGCCTGCAAGGGCGCTGAGCTGGGACCGCAGGAAGCATCTAGTTCTTCTCGCGCATGGCAGTTCATTTTGAATGGCCAGGCATGCTCTTCAGGTAAAAAGTGGAATAGCCATTTCCCTGAGGTGGCAACGATTACGTGGGTGGGGGGCGAGCAAATCTCTATCAGAAGGGTGGCGTGGGGGTCGCAAAGAATTGTGTATGAATATCCACCTGGAAAGGTCATCAAGTTTGCGCGAAGCCTGTCAGATAACGAACCTGACATGAAGCTGAGCCTGTGGGCTCCTGACCTAGCGCCTGGCGTTTATGGTAGCTGGCATGGCACCTGCTCATTTGAGGGGCACATGGCATTCCCGTTGCACGCGGTGGTGCAAGATCGCTTTGAAACTGCTGAGGAGTATTTGGAACGGCATCCTCCCGCTGATGTTTACTTCGCTGAGCACGTTGTTGCTATTTTGGCGCGCGCGACCCTTGCAGGCGTTCGGGTGATGGACGTTGGCTTTCGTAACCTCGGAGTTCGTGAACGCGGCGAGCTTGAAGTTGTATTTATTGACGCTGGCCACTTTACATTTGACTCGAGCAATACATTGTATATGCCTGGTAAAAAAAGAACCAAGGGTGCTTTTGCGAGCATTAAGCACTACTTCGGCAAAGACGTTGCGGATGCGCTGATGCAGCTTACACAGGACCAAGGACACCACGCCATTAGGGTACTTGAAGCTCTGAGCGAGCGCTTCCTCAGGAGGTGTGAGACGTGAGAGTGGCGAAAACAAGACTCGGGGGAAGTTGGGGAGGTGACGTACTCAGTGCAAAAGGTGAGAGGCGTAGTTTGCGCAGTGGTTTGCTCACAACATGTTCCTCTCAGTCACTTTCGATGTCGCTTCTCACCCCTGTGAGCCCAAACAAACGAGCCCAATCCTGCTGGTTGAAAATCAAACTAACCTAAAGTGGAAACTCTTTTGACGATTGCGTTTGTTGGAGAAACACCTTTGCGCCAGAGAGACCGCGCCGTGAGAGAGACACTTTGAGAGTGGTCTGCAACCTTGAGAGATGGCACCTTGAGAGGAACCAAAACATATTGGTTTCCTAAAGAATCTTAACGCCCCCAAGCCCCTCCCAAGACTGTTCCTCTCAAAATTCACAACCATTTTAGTACAGTTTTTCATTGCCACATTTAAGGGAGTTGAAAGGGGGGTCGAAGTTTGGTCGAATGTTGGTCGAAACTTCGACTCGCAGTTTGGTCGTAGTTTTACATGCTCATATCATAAAACATTGGTATTTACAGTGTTTTAACAAAACTGCGACCAAACTACGACCAAAGTGCGATCAAACTACGGGTCGAAGTTTCGACCAACATTCGACCAAACTTCGACCCCCCCTATGTGGAGAGACATGTTGTCAACGTATGTTTCTGGAAACTCAGCTTTGTTTTTTACTGGGAAATCGATATCTAAGAACAAACTCGGGGCTGCGGGGCATGACGAGCCTCAAGTTGCTTTGGCGCAGCAGGGGCATTCCGGCTCTCAAACAAGTTATCATGCTTGTGGGCGCGTAGCTGTGGCCATGGGAGTGGTGGCCAGTGTTACACTGGAACTCTAGCTTCATTATGGCAAAATAGACCCATGTTGTTTTTCTCTCAGGAGAGCGATCTGTGTCGGCAAAGCGCCCGGCCTCACTTCTTGGTCTTTGTCTTCTTAGTAGATGATGAGGACGCGCCCTTGCCACTGTTGTTTGTTCCTTGGCCACCCTTGTCCTTTGCCTTGCTCTTCCCCTTTCCGCACTCTTCCTCCTGCATGTTGCAGTTGCCCTCCACAGACTTCTCCTCCTTGTCTTGATTCTTGTTGTCCTTGATGAGATTGAGCAAGCTGTCGGCAAGGCTGGCAGTGACGGGGCTGAGGAATTCTGGCAAGGTTCCCCGGGTGCTTCCATCGTTCATGACTGCGAAGCCAACAGGTGGCCCCAACTCATCGCCATCTTCAGCATCAAGAGCATCAAGATCAAGCATTTGGGAGTCGCCCTCAAAGTGTTGCGAGGACATGGCGCGATGGAATGAGCTGTGCAGCAGCTATGCGTGCGCAATGTCTCCCAAACGCCTGCGTGTGGCAAAGGTCAGCACAAACAAGGAGAGAAACCGTCGAAACATGTATAAGGGTTTGGGGCCATGAGAAAGTTTACCGCCTTTCACGTCGACTGTGAGTGCTTAAGCGTGCCTTGAGAGCAAACTTCAAAGGCTTACTGTTGCTTGAGGCCTCATGTGATTTGCGTGGCTCCAGCCCCCCAACTCAATCAAATGGCGTTGGCTTCCAACAAAGGAGGGTTGGATTTGGTTTGCGCCGTGAAGGATACATTATCCCTCTCAGCAGTGTCCTGACAGCGTGTCTCGTGCTGCCCCTCATAGTTTCTCAAGGATCTCAAGGCAACCCTCAAGTTGTTTTTTTGAAGTAGCTCCACACAATTCTCTCAAACAGTCTGTTGTTTAGGGTATCTCTCAAAGTTCTCTCAGGGTTTCTCAAGGTCTCTCTTACTACAGTTTCTCTCAAGGTCACTCTCAAGGTGTCACTCAAGATCCCTCTCAAGGTGTCTCTCAAGGTGTCTCTCAAGGTGTCTCTCAAAGTGTCTCTCAAGGTGTCTCTCAAGGTTTCCCTCTAAAGGTTTCCTGGGGGCTTCTCTCAATGTGTCTTTCAAGGTTCCTTGACTTGAGCCTTGAGGTGTCTCTCTCAAGAAGTTTGGCAGCGCTTGTCTTTAGATCACACTCATGCATACAGCGCTTTGCAGACTCATCTCCTAAGTCTTCTAGAGGTGTGCCCCCTGACAGCTCAGGATTTATGACCCAAAGCTTGGCGCTCAACGTATCTCAGCACAGCAAGTTTGAAAACAACACTAGCGCGCCTTTTTCCTTTTTCACTCCAATGTGTACATGCGTTAGCTTCGCCTCCGCCTCCTCCGCCCACGCGAGCGATCTCTGCCACGGGAAGACCAGGGCCTTGTTCGCCTCCTGCGCGCTGAGCGCGAGTCCGAAGCCGCCGATGATGCTGGGCTCCTCTGAACCTGTAATGATGGCGATGGCAACGCAGGCTCGAGCTTGACAGGCCCGACTGGAAGTGGCAGCAAGGTGCCCGCCTCTGCATCTGTCTCTGGCGTGGTAGGCAAATCGTCGGAGTCGTCCGCGTCTTCCGTTGGATCAACCATGTAGTCATCATGAGTGCAGCGCTCCTCCGTCTCAAGTGTATCTGACACAGGTGATGCAGGAGCTGGAGGGCCTGGAGGAGCTGGAGGGGCTGGAGGAGCTGGAGGAGGTGGAGGAGCTGGAGGGACAAGGTCAACCGGGCCCCGCCTGCCACAGCCGCTTGGTGAAGCTGCGCCATGCCCCGCTGCGCCACGCCCCGCTGCGCCACGCCCCGCTGCGCCGCGCCCCGCTGCTGCCCCGCGCCAAGAAGGTGGCCCTGAGGCAGACTTGGCTTGCGAACCCACGATCGGCGCCGCAGGAGCTACCGGAGCCAGGTTGACAGGGTAAACAGCGCCGTCTGTTCGCGGGCGAGCTGCCTCCGCGACAACTGGGTACTTTGACAGGAAGTAGGTTCCGGCCAGCGACACCGCCGCATTGTGAACTTGAGCCCACGTTTCGAAGGTCAAGAAGAAGACAGACGGTTTGTCTGCCACCAGCGCGCCCTTCCGGACGGGGTGTATATGAAGAAGGCCGTAGCCCAGCCCCCGTTTCCGCAGCTCTGCTTCCAAATCCGCCGGGGTGTGTTGCGCAAGCACATTCTTTAAGAACAGCCTGCACGGGGGCTCAGCCATGGCAAAGATCACAAGCGTACCAGTTGTGTTTCAGCTGGTCTGCATGCAGGCAGCGGTGTCGCCCAGGAGCTGTGCTTGTTGGCTAGCTTGTGTTTCCTGTGTTTCCTTTGTCTTTGAGTATACTTGCTCACGTTGTCCCTCAAAGTATAGTCAGAGCCTAAAGATTCAAAACAAACCGATCTTCTCAGATGCATTCACTCACACAGCCTGCGCCTGTCGCACACCCCGGGGGCATCACAAGCAAGCACAGGTGGTAAAACATCATGACGGCTCACAGGGGACAGTGGCGTAACAGGGTTTGGAATTCGTAGGCTGTACATAGGCGCTTGTTGTTCTCGAGTCACACGCACATACGCAAGGGTGCATGAAATGGCTCTCCCATGGCGCTGTCAAAGTGCTTTGGTTCCTCTCAGGGTGCCATCTCTCAAGGTTGCAGGCCACTCTCAAAGTGTCACTCTCACAGTGCGGTCTCTCTGGGGTAAAGGTGTTTCTCAAACACAAAGGCAATTGTCAAAAGGGGTTCCAGTGACTTTAGGTTAGCTTGATTCTTCCACCCACCAAGTTCATACCAGTTACCCTATAAGGTCATTTCCAAATTGTTCTAGAGCCTTATCTTCAAGGCAAATTCCAAACAAACGCCCCCAAGCCCCTCCCAAACTGTTACCACACAGAGTCACTGAAGACACCACCTTGAGAGACACCACCTTGAGAGACACGGCGCCTTGAGAGACACTACACCTTGAACCACCTTCTGAGAGACACCGCGCCTTGAGCGACACCATCTTGAGAGACACAACGCCTTGAGAGACACCACGCCTTGAGAGACGCCATGCCTTGAGAGACACCACCTTGAGAGACACTACCTTGAGAGACACCTAAGGACAGAGAGAGAGAGAGAGAGAGAGAGAGCGCGACAGGAGAAAGAAAGAAAGAAAGAAAGAAAGAAAGAAGGAAACAACAAGAGAGTACACCTGGGACACTCGCAACTTCCGGTCGCCCAGCGCAGCAGCAAGCTCCTGAAGTTTCCCTCCCCGGCTCTCAGAGGCATTTGAGACGATGCACTTGACATATTCACGGCTGTTGACAGGCGCATTTCATAGCATGACACGGCCAACATTTGGTCATGAACAACTGATTGATCCACTGATCACAGCATGAAACGGCGAAACATTCTGGTGGAAACTGAGGAGGTAACACTCATGCGCGCGCACAGCAGAAGAATATAACCCCACATCAAAGGAAATGCGCGGAGCCTCAATGGACCTTGTTCTTCTTTCAGTCAACATCCGGGGGCTCCACCACATCGGCTTTAGCCTTCTTGAGAAGGGGCCAGGCTTGATTGAAGATTTTCCGGCCTTGGCATGAGCAGCCCTTGCCGCGGAGCCAAGAGTTTCAGCATCCTCACAGCCCTGGGCCCTCATGGAGTTCTTTGTGTCGTAATAGGCC